GCGTCGCACGGGCGGGCCTCCCACGCCTCCAGGATCCTCAGGAACCGCTCACGGTAGGCCTGCGGCAGGTGAGCGAGCTTCTTCGGATGGAGCCTATCCCGCCCGAGTCCGCATCCCGCCTTGTACCTGTCCAGCGCCGCGTCCAAGTCTACTAACGATAGCGCGGGAAGCGGGTCCCCGTCGGGCCACAAGGCGGGGCGCTGCTCATCGTCCCGGCTGGCCTTGCACCAAAAGGGCATCCAGTCGTCGAGCAGCACCTGGAGGGCCTCCGAGCCTGCAACCGGAAGGCCTGGTCCCTCCTCCTCGTCCTGCACCTTGCCAGCTGCGGCCCCCTCCTGCCCGAGCCCGGAGCCACTGCACGTTTTCTGCTGCATGACCGTGGAGTCCAAGTCCCGCTGCTTGATGTACTTGAAGGCCCTGGAGCCTCCTAGCTCGGCAGCGGCCGCCTGGGCCCAGGCCTTCCACTCTTTGCCCTGCCGCTCCCGGTCCTCGTCGTCCACGCGGTCACTGGGCCGCCCGCAGGAGCACCCCGTAGGCCCCAGCGCTCCCGAAGCAGACCACGTCGGTGAGCTTCTTCATATCCAGGCCTGCCAGGGCCCCCTCTGCGGGCCACGGTTCACCCGGGCCCTGCAACGACCTCGTCAGCCGCTTCTGCCGCTCCAACTCTGGCCAGCCCTTGCCGCTGGAGCGAGTTTGCGTGACGAGCGCCGCAAGCCTCCGAAGGGCACCCGCTCGGCTGTGCCATCGCCGCGCCTCCTGGCTGTACCGCAGCCGCACGCTATGAGCCCAGTGCGCCTCCAACGGGACCCAATGCACCTGAAGGCCGTCGGCCCTGCTGTGGGCAATCCTGGCCGGGACCCCTTCGCCGTGCAGGGCCCCCAGGTACTGCTCCACCTTCGCGTACCACTCCGCGCACGCCTCGTCGATGCTGAAATCCCTCGCGTCCATCTCCCACTCGGTCTCCTCCTGCGGCGCTGGCCGCACTGGCGGAGGCATGTCCAGCGGAAACTTGGCGGGGTACTTCGCCACCTGCACCTTCGCCCTCTTGTGCACGCCCTTCAGCCTCAAGATGACCGGAGAATGCGGGTGCAGCGGGGCGCCCTCCATCCGCTGCACGTCGTCGACCATCCCCGACAGCGTCCCGCTGACCACCGCGTAGTCGAGCTCGTTCGCGCCGCACGTTGGCCTGCCGGTCGAAGCCACCGTACCTCCGGCTTTCCGCGCCCAGTCATGGACCATGCATGGGTCGAGGTTCCAGTCCCCCGAAACCACCCAGGGGAACCTCCAGCTCAGGACCTCGCGCAAGAGGCTCTCCAGCAAATCGACATTGGGGCCCGTGAGGCCCACCGAGTCCACGAGGTACAGCGAAGCCACCAAGATCGGCAGCTGCAACCCCACATTGAGCTGCGCCACCTGCAATCTGTGGCTGGGGCAGCGGGTCGCTGGGTAGCCCGCTGCCGCAACTGCCGCCGTCGACAAAATCCCCGTGCCTCCCGACGACTGCACGGGGCCATCTCCCGTCGCGATCGCCAGGCCCAGGGTGGCCCGGTATCCTCGCGCGCGTGCCGCGCGCCTCGCCGAGGCACACTTGCCCTCGAGCTTCAGCCGGTGCTCCTGGAAGCACACGACGTCGGGCGGCCGGCCTCCACCGTCAACGACCCACCAGTCGAGCAACCGCATGATTGAGCTCCACGCTGTTGTGTTCGCTGTCCACAGCTCCAGGTCCTCCGCCTCCAGGTCCCTAGGAACGCTCCGTGCGCATCTTCTTATACGCAGCGCTGGTGGCCTCCCAGGCCCGCTTGCGCCGGGCCAGCAGGTCAGCACGCCCTTCTGGGCCCGCAGCGGCGGCCGCAGCACCCAGGCCGATGCTGTCCCAGAACTCCTGCTCGTCGTCGTTGGGGTCGGGCCCGACGGGCTCCTCAGCAGGTGCCATGGGCTCATCAGCAGCGCCAGCAGCAGCAGCAGGCGCGCCAGCGCCTGCATGCGCTTCGGCCGCGGCCGGTGCCGGGGACGGCTGAGGCGGGGGCTGGGCCGCCACCCGCTCCATGAGCCCAGCCAGCACCTCGGCGGCCGCCTCCACCTCGGCCTTGAGACCGGGCTCCGTGTGCTCGTTGAGCCCGCCGGCAGTGACGGTCTTCGCGATCCCGCCTCGGATCGCGCGCCCACGGGCCTCCCCTGCTGGGATCGCCTGGAGCCGCGCGCTCGCCTCGCGCAGCTGCGCCTGGTCCCGAGCCTCCTCCAGCTCCTTCTTCTTGTCGCGGTGACCCTTGAGGATGGCCTCCTCCTCCTCCAGGCGTTTCTGCACCTCGGCCGCCTCGAGCTTGATGGCGTCGATGCGGCCCTGCGCACGCTCGAGCTTCCGCTCAGTGTCGGAGAGGCGCATGAGGATCTGGCGCACGCCCAAGTTCCCGTCCGTGCTCTTGGCCGCCTCCGCCTGGTCGACGATTGCCGCGCACTCCAGGAGCTGCGGCTGGTCCTGCGGCCAAGCGGTCCGGTCCGCCCCGTACTTGTGCTTCTGGAGCTCCAGGACATACTTGGCGAACTCCAGCTGCTTGTCGTCGACCCCCTTCTTCGCCTCCGCCTGGTCGCCGCTGCGGGGAGGGGCCTGGCCGCCGCTGCGGGGAGGGGCCTGGCTGCCGCTGCGAGGAGGGGGCCCCTTGGCCCACTTCCCCGATGGCAGTTTCCACGGCGCCTCCACAGGCTGCGACAACTTCTCCAGAACTCCTTTGGGCGCACGGCTGCCGCACATGCGGCACTCCGCGCGGTACACGAAGTTCGCATAGGCGGTGCCGGTCTTCTTGGCGCACTGCCCGCACATCCACATGGGGTGCGCGCCGCGCCCTGCATACATGGCTCGCACTCGTGTGCCGCTTCGAAGAAACGCGAGTGCACGCTCGGGCGCTTGCCCACAATTTCGCCAGCCCGAGCCGAAACGGCTAGGAGGAGGAGGAGGAGGAGGAGGAGGAGGAGGAGGAGGAGGAGGAGGAGGAGGAGGGAGCAGGACCCAGGAGGAGGAGGAGGAGGAGGAGGAGGAGGAGGAGGAGCAGGACCCGCCTCCCCCTGGCGAGGAGGAGGAGGAGGAGGACCCCTTCCCTTCGGCTTCGCGGCGAAGACTGTCGGAGCTCTGGAATCGAATCGGATCGAGCCGGCCGGATCCGTTGTATCGCACAGAATGGACCATGGCGGGCGGCAGGCCCCAAAACCCTCATCATCACCACCATTCACTTCATCATCACCGTCATTGCCATCGCCATCGACATCGTCATCGTCATCAGCATCATCACCAACACCACCACCATTATCATCATCATCGTCATCAGCAGCATCGTCATCATCGTCATCATCAGCATCGTCATCATCAGCATCATCATCCCAACAATCATCAACAACATCCTCATCCCCCATATCAACATCATCCTGATCATCATTACCATCCAGCACTCATCATCATCAGCAACAGCTTCATCATCATCACCATCATCAACAGCATCAGCATCATCACCAGCATCAGCATCCGCATGATCATCATCAGAAGCAGCATCATCAGCATCTTCATCACCCTCCTCGCCATCATCCATGATTACCATCATCGTCAGCACCATCATCAGCATCATCATCATCAGTCTCGTCAGCATCATCATCATCATCATCAGCATCATCAACATGATCGTCGTCATCGTCATCGTCATGATCCTCCTCCTCCTCCTCCTCCTCCTCCTCCTGATCCTCCTCCTCCCCATCAGCATCATCGTAATCATCATCATCAGTATCATTATCAGTATCATTATCATGGCGACTTTCCCATCCTGGCCCATCCTCAATCAGTCGCCACCCAGAATGCTAGGCTGGCACGGAGGCGGCATTTGCAGTAAACAACTGGATACATACACGTGTTGAAATCTCCGTGTCTCCCGCTCCGTCTCCCTCTCTCTGTGGCTCTCTCTCTCTCTCTCTCTCGCTCTCTCTCTCTCTCACTCTCTCTCTCACTCTCGAAGAAAACGGCGTATCCAGGGACGCGCGTTCTGACAAGAATGTCGAGTCCAATCTCGCCTTGACGACGAGACGCCCCCCAAGGGCCCAACAAAGGTCGAACGGCTCCCAGAATCCTCGAGCCTCCTCCTCCTCCTCCTCCTCCTCGTCCTCTCCCTCCTCCTTCTCGTCCTCTCCCTCCTCCTCCTCCTCTTCCTCCTCCTCCTCCTCCTCCTCCTCCCTCCTCCTCCTCCTCCTCCTCCTCCTCCCTCCTCCTCTTCCCTCCTCCCTCCTCCTCCTCCTCCGGCTGGTCGGGGGCTCTCTTCTGTCTGAGGCTTCTTCTTATTATTATTATTAATTTTTATTATTATTATCTTACTTATTATTCTTCCTCGTCCTCGCCTCCTCCTCCTCCTCCTCACGCCTCCTCCTCCCTCCTCCTCCTCCTCCTTCCTCCCCTCACCCCCTCCCCCTCTCTTCTCCTCCCCTCCGCCCTCCCTCCTCCTTCCCCTCCTCCCCTTCCTCCTCCTCCCCTGCTCACTCCTCCTTCTCCTCCTCTTCCCTACTTCCCCTCCTCCTCCTCCCCTCCTCCTCCTCCTCCCTCCTCCTCCTCCCTACCTCCTTCTCCACCTCCTCCTCCGCCTCCTCCTGCTCCTCCTCCTCCTCCTCTTCCTCCTCCTCCTCCTGCTCCTCCTCATCCTCCTCTCTCCTCCTCCTCCTCCTCCTCCTCCTCCTCTCCTCCGCCTCCTCCCCCCTCCTCCCCTCATCTCCCTCCTCTCCACCTCCTCCGCCTCCTCCTCCTCTCACCTGCTCCTCCTCCTCCTCCTCCTCCTCCTCCTCCTCCTCTCTCCTCCTCCTCCTCCTCCTCCTCCCCCTCCGCCTCCTCCTCACTCCCTCCCCCCCCATCCTCGACCGTTCCCCCTCCCTCCCCTCCCTCCGCCCACTCCCTCCCCCCCCATCCCCCTGGAGCAGCACCACCGCCGCTCGCGGGGGGCTCAGGCGCCGGACCGCGGGCGCCAGCCCGAGGGGCATACCCCGAGGCCGCCGTCGGCGAACCCGGCTAACACCTCTCGGGGAGCACGGGCCCCCCGACCCCGGGCGCACGCACGCAAAAAGCGCGCGGCTCCAGGCCGATCCCCCCTGGCTCGCGGGTCCTCCTCCCGTCCTCCCTCCAGCCTCCCCTCCTCATCCTCCGCCGCCTCCTCCTCCTCCCTCCCTTCCCTCCTCCCCTCCTCTCCCTCCTTTCCCCCTCCTCCCTCCCTCCTCCTTACCTCCTCCTCCTCCTCCTCCTCCTCCTCCTCCTCCTCCACTCCTCCTCCTCCTCCTCCACCTCCTCCTCCTCCTCCTCCCTCCTACCTCCTCCTTCTCCTCCTCCTCCGCCTCTCTCCTCCTCCCCTCCTCCTCCTCCTCATCCTCCTCCTCCCTCCTCCTCCGCCTCCTCCTCCTCCTCCTCCTCCTCTCCTCCTCCTCCTCCTCCCCTCCTCCTCTCCTCCTTCCTCCTCCTCCTCCGTCCCTCCTCCTCCTCCTCCTCCTCCTCCTCCTCCTCCTCCTCCTCCCCCTCTTCGATCCCCCGAGTGTGCGGCCGACGACGACGACGACGACGACGACGGCGGCGACGGCGACGGCGGGGGAGGAGTGTGGCAAGCAAGACGAGGACGTTGCCGACGAGAGCGAGGAGAGCGGGGAGGAGTGGGTCGGGGGTCCCGAGGACGTGTGGTGACGGACCGCGTGGCGGCCTTCGAATCCCAAGCGAGCTCACCGCACGGTCCGCCAACGCACGATCTTGGGACCTCGGAAGCCCCAGGTCGTCCGGAGGAGGAGGAGGAGGAAGAGGAGGAAGAGGACCTTGGAGAACGGCCCGAGTTCCAAACCGTGTTGTGACCCCGAAATCCCACAGACTCACGACGCTGTGGTCAGCACACCCTTTGGGGGCCCCCGGCTGACGTCCTCACGTCGAATCTGGCAGGATCAGTCGGCATCATAACTATAAGAAACTAGAGCGCCATAAACATAAACTTTTGGCGCTCCGCGCGGATGTCTTGGACCTGCGCTGGAGCGCGCCAGGGGTGGCGACGGAGGCGCCGCCGGGGGGGGGGCGCCAGCGCGGATACAAGAGATTCGCGCGGAGCGCCAAAAGATTGCGTGTGGCGTTTATCATTCTCTGGACATCGGGAGACCAGATCGGATCGTAACGTTAGGTCGGCCATGTCTTCCTACAGGGGGATGTTGGACAACAAATGGAACATACTCAACACAAGCCCCCAAACAATCCAAAATAATAGAGAAGTCGTCCCCTGAGTGTGAGTTTACGAAGTCTAAGCTGAAGCTCTGCTTCAGCATGAGCTTTAGCCCTGCTTGGGAGGGGGGGAGGGGAGGAGGGGGGATGTAATTAACTGACGAATTCAGTGCTCGGCACCTCCCCCCCCTGCCAGCCCCCAGGAGAGAGGGGGGGGACAGGAGAGAGGGGGGGGGAGGGAAGGGGGGGGTGCAGGAGAGAGGGGAGGGGGGGGGGGAAAGGAGAGAGGGAGGGGGGGGTGGAGGGAAGGAATGAGGGGGGAGGGGGGGAAAGGCAAGCTAGGGGCGCTCAGCGTCATCTCTGACGTCCTACCCCACCCTCCCCATATTACCCTTAACCACATGGCGCTGATTCCCATTGCGCTAATATCCGCGGACGCGTGTCGAAGCGGACCTGTGGGCTCCGCGCGCGTGCGTAAGTGGGTGGTGGTGCACGTGCGTGCGTGCGGGCAGTTGGTGTGGTGGTTGTCGTGGGTGGTGGTGGGTGGTGTAGTGTGGTGGTGGTTTTTGGTGGTGGATGGTGGTGGTGGTGGGTGCTTGGTGGGGTGGTGGGTTGCTGCTGGTGGAGGTGGTGTTGTACTGGGTCCTGGTGCTGGTGGTGGTTTGGGTGGTGGGTGGGTGGTGGTGGTGGTGGGTGGTGGTGGTGGTGGTGGCGGGCGGCGCGGGAGTGTGGCGGGCGGAATGGCACGCGAGAATAGGCCCGCGCCTGGGGCGAGAACGCCCCAAAATTTTTCCCTGAACGACGGAGGCCAAACACCGATCCGAAAATGAGGCCCACGCTGCAGCGGGAGCACGATTCGGAACGATTCGGGAGCAGAAATGAGGCCGGCGCCTCAACGAGAGCAGCATTTTGGGAAAAAATGACGCCGGCGCCTCAGCGCGAGTCGTTTCCCGGGATTTCCCGGGGATCCTGTGTGTAAAAAACAGTACGCGGAGGGTGCGCGGCCATCACCTGGACGCCATCAGGGGAAGAGGGAGAGTATTTTCATATTGAGTAATTGTAGAGGGGGGTGGAGGAGGAGGAGAAGGAGGAGGAGGAGGAGAACTCTGTATGCAACTGTGGAGAAGAGATAGCGGGAAATGTTCGAGGCGGGAAGAGGGAGGGGACCGGAGAGAAGGAGGGGGGAAACCGAGAAGGGTGTGAAGGGGAAAAGGAGCAGAGGGGGGGCGGACAAACAGGAGAGAGGGTCGTGGGGACAGAAAAGAGGGGGGGGACAGGGGGGCGCGGACAGGAGAGAGTTTGGGGGGGAGACAGGAGAGAGGAGGGGCGAGGGAAAGGAGAGAGGGGGGGGGGCAGGAGAGAGGGGGGGGGGACAGGAGGGAGGAGGAAGGGTGGTGGGGGGGGACCGGGATCATCACCACCTCACCACCTCCATCACCATCACCATCACCATCGTCACATCACCATCACCATCATCATCATCAGCATCACCACCACCACCATCACCACCATCATCATCATCATCATCATCATCATCATCATCATCATCGTCACTATCACCATCACCATCACCATCACCATCATCATCACCATCACCATGACCACCACCACCATCACCACCACAACCACCATCATCATCATCATCAGCATCATCAGCATCATCATCCTCATCCTCCTCCTACTCCTCATCCTCATCAGCATCATCATCCTCATGATCCTCATCATCATCATCATCACCATCACCGTCACCATTATCATCATCATCACCACCACCATCACCACCACCACCACCACCATCATCATCATCAGCATCATCATCCTCATCCTCATCATCATCATCCTCATCCTCATCCTCATCCACCTCCTCCTCCTCCTCATCATCGTCCTCCTCCTCCTCCTCATCCTCATCATCCTCATCATCACCATCCTCATCATCATCATCACCACCATCATCATCACCATCACCATCACCATCACAATCACCATCATCATCATAATCATCACAACCACCACCACCATCATCGTCATCATCATCACCACCACCACCATCATCATCATCATCATCACCATCACCATCACCATCACCATGACCATGACCATGACCATGACCATGACCATGACCATGACCATGACCACGACCATCATCATCATCATCATCATCATCATCATCAGCATCAGCATCAGCATCAGCATCAGCATCAGCATCAGCATCAGCATCAGCATCATCATCATCATCATCACCATCATCATCATCATCATCATCATCATCATCATCATCATCATCATCATCATCATCCGGAGCGCCCCGGATCGGCGGCACTGGCCGGAGGCCACTACAATACACAAGAAATGCCCCCACATAGTCCAAGATAGTAGAGAAGTCGTCCCCTGTTTTGTTTTTACTATTTTTGAATATCCCCCCCCTGTATAAGGACACGCCCGACTCAAAGGCTGCATCAGCCTGGAGCCGGGGCGTCGGATCGAGTCGGCCGCGCCTGGGCACGCGGCCGCGCGGTGCCGGCACCGGGCCGCCTCTGGATCGGCGGGGAGCGGCAGGCAGTTCGGCTCGAGCTCTGGGTCGGGCATGTCCCCCTACAGGCGGAGTTTGGACGAAAGATCAAAAATACTCAGCAAATACCCCAAAGTAGCCAAAACATATGCAAAACATCGTCCCCGTATTTATAGTTTTTCGATATTCCTTCTGTAGAGGGACATGTCCGACTTGACTCGAGCTGGGCGGACTCGGCACGGAGTCCAGAAGAAGAAAAGACGGCCTAGACATAAACTTTTGGCGCTCCGCGCCGATTTCATGGATCCGCGCGGGACCCCTCTCCCTGGCGCGCGGAGCGCACCAGGGGCGGCGCCAGAGGCGCCGCCCGGGGGGGGTCCTCAGCGCGGATCCAAGAAATCCGTGCGGAGCGCCAGAATCTTTATGTTTATGGCGTTCTTTCTTCCTCGAGAGTGGGATCGATCTCGAGCCGACATTGCCCCTGCAGGCCAACCCTGGCACCCTCCCGTCGACCCTGGAGGCTTTCGAAGTTTTTGGGATGGCCTGGAGGTATTACATACACCAAGGCGTCTGTTCGGCCAGGAAGCTCGGCGCATAGGCCAAGACGTCTGTTCTGCCTCTCTCCAGCCTGTGTGATGCTGAAGCGTCTCTGCACCAAACTCCTTCGACGAATTCACTAGCTCCTTGCCCTACCAGACGAAATGGTGTATAAACTGAGCCACTCCGATGTTTCGGAAATGCTCGCCGACTCCGCGCGAATCACCTCGCTCCCTCGAGGGCTCCTCCTCCTCCTCCTCCTCCTCCTCCTCAGGATGCAATTTCTTCGTAAGATTGGTTGAATGCTAGGGGCCATTGAGCTGGATTGGCCCAGATGAAACTCGGGATGAAGCAGGATCAGGCCAGGTCGAGCCAGCTATCGACCACGCACATGCCAGCACCGACACTGACCTCATTCTCCGCCTCGCCGATGCGTCCCCAGGAACTCCCAAGGAACTGCACGCTGACCTCATCCTTTTGGGCGCGAAGTAATGGAGGAACGACAAATCTGGGGGGGGAGAGAGAAAGGTGCCTCGGGCCCTAGAGGTCCCCTTTGGGGCCCTTCATACACGAAGAAAACAACGCCATATACATAAACTCTTAGCGCTCCGCGCGGATTTCTTGGACCCGCGCCAGACCCCCCTCCCTGGCGCGCGGAGCGCGCCAGGGGCGGCGCGGCGGCGCCAAAGGCGCCGCCAGGGGGCCCCGCGCGGGTCCAAGAGATCCGCGCGGAGCGCCATAAGTTTATGTCTGCGGCGCTTTTTCTCTTCTTCGACAACAGGGCCCCTCCTCTGCAGCCATCTCTGGCCCTACCCCCTTTGTCGCCCACCCGTTTCTCGCCGCCCGACTCCTCTGAGGTCGGGCATGTCCCCCTGCAGGCGGATTTTGGGCGACAGACAAAAAAAAGTAAAACAAACAACACAAAAAAAACTCCCCAATGGTCAAATATAGCTGAAGCCAAAAAATCGTCCCCTGGCTAGTTTTATACGATGTTTGGGAATGTTCCTCCTGCAGATCGGGTCGGGCGAAAGTGGGGGATAGTCAAGGGGGGGGTTTGAGAATCAGCTCACGTAGCTGATTCTCCCGGCGCCTCCCGCCGCCGGAGGCGGCCATGTATCGAGGAATGGGCCCCTCGGCGAGGCCGGAACCAGCCGCATGCAGCCAATCTCGTGACCCCCCCTTTTTCCCAATCCCCCCCTTCCGTCCGGCCCGAGCAGAGGGACGCGCCCGACTTGCAAGACTCCTCCGACTCGCCGAACGAGGCGCCCGAGGGGGGGCGGGCGCAGCGCCTTCGTCTCGCCGTCCGGGAGGCCGCCGCCGACGTCCACGCAGCGCACCCCGCCCCCCTCGGCCCGGACGCCGGCGGTGCAGAGGTGCCGGAACTCGGGCAGGGCCTCGGCGGCGCAGGGGCGCAGGAGGGGAGCGGGAGGAGGAGGAGGAGGAGGAGGAGGAGGAGGAGAAGCAGGGATGCCGAAGAGGAGGAGGAGAGGGGAGCGGGCGCGGGGGAAGAGCAAAAAGGGAAGGGGGACACACATAGGTCGTGAGGGAGGGAGGAGGACACACACGTGGAGGAAGAGCAAGAAGGGAGGCAAAAAGGACGTGAAGAAAAAACGGAAAGGGAGAGAGTAGGAGGACGAGGCGGTTCGTGTCGTCAGCAGTAGGCGGAGACAGGCCCTCACACGCGCACCCCCCCCCTCCCCCGTCGCGTAGCCTTCGGCACAGAGGGCGGACCACATTGCGCAATCGACGTGGGTCGCTGCTCGCAGAGCTCGGGGATCTTCTGACCCGGGTCAATCCAGACCCGGGTCAGACAAGCCTTACTGAATCCTGCAAGGTCCTGCAGGATCCTGCACCCAAGCCCGGGTCAGTGGGAAGGATCCTGCAAGATCCTGCAGGATCCTCCCTGAAGGGATCCTCCCTCCTCCCTCCTCCCTGCGCAGGGTCGAAGGATCCTGCAAGATCCTCCCTCCTCCCTCCTCCCTCCTACCTCCTCCTTCCTCCTCCTCCCTCCTCCCTCCCCCGTCCCCCTCCCCCTCCCCCATCTCTTCCCCCTCCCCTCCCCCTCCGACTCCCCCTACCGCTGCCTCATCCCCCCTCCAACTCCTACACTCCTTCCTCCTCCGCTCCTCCTGCTTACCTCCTCCTCCTCCTCTGCCTCCCTCCTCGTTGCTCCTCCTCATCCTCCTCTCCTCCCTGTCCTCTCTCTCGTCTTCCTTCTTTCCCCTCCTCCCTCTCCCGCCTCCCCATCCCTCCTCATCCTTCCGTCCCTCCCTCCCCTCCCTCCTCCCTCCTCCCTCCTTCATCCATCTTCTCATCCCTATACTCTTCCTCCCTTCATCCTTCCTTTCTTCCTCCTCCATCCTCCCTACTCCCTCCTCCCTCCTCCCTCTCCTCCTCCCTCTCCCTCCTCCTCCCTCCTCCCTCCTCCCCCTCCCTCTCCCCTTTACTCCTCCTCCTCCTCCTCACCTCCTCCTCTCCTCCTCCCTCCTCCTCCTCCTCCTCCTCTCCTCCTCCTCCTCTCCTCCTCCTAACTCCTCCTTCCCTCCGATCCTCTCTCCAATCCTTTCCTCTCCTTCCTCTCCTCTCCTTCCTACTCTCCTCTCCTCTTCTCTCCCTCCTCCCGACCTCCCTCCTCCTCTCTTCCTCTCGGTCCCCCCTCCTCCCTCCTCCCTCCTCCCTCCCTCCCTCCTCTTCCCTCCCCTACCTCCTCCTCCCTCTCCTCCTCCTTTCACTCATCCTCCCCTCCTTCCTCCCTCACTCCCTCCCCTTCCCTCCCTCCTCTTTCCTCCCTCCTCCCTCCCTCCTTCCTCCCTCCTCCTTCCTCCCTCCTCCCTCCTCACTCCCTCCTCCCTCCTCCCATCCCTCCCTCCTCCCCTCCTGCTCGCCCCCCTTCCTCGCGCCCAGCCTCGCGGCCGCCGCCGTCCGCCTCCGCGCTGCCCTCGCTCGCCGCGGGCCTCTCCCAGATGGCCAGCATGCCCTGGCAGGGCCCGGGGGTGCAAGGAGGACCGGAGGGGAAGAGGAACAACAGGAAGCAACTCCTGGGAGGTCTCTTCGCTGGAACGATGAAGCCCCACTGGAGGCCACTTCACCGGATCAAGTCAGATTGAGCCCGGGACTAAGCCAAATAAATCCAGATTGAACGGGATGAAGCCAGACTGAGCCGGATAAACCCAGATTCAGCCAATTATCGACCGCGAGCATACCAGCACCGAGACAGAATTCACCTTCCCAGGGATCAGGAACAGGCTATACCACGTAGTGGTCCAGGAGGGTTAGACCTGCTGGCCCAAAAGTGCCTGCTCAGCTCTGTTGACCTGCGTCGGCTAGAGCCGCAATTCAGGTCTAGACAAACAGGTCACTCGAAGGGGAGCCAGCTGCTCAGAACATGGCATCGAAAACTCACGGATAGAAGCAAGAGCATCGACACCGCAACACCGAGAAAACCAGCCATGATCGGAGGTTGGGGGGTGAGATCGCAGTGGAACGGGGACCCCCAACCAGGAAATCGTTTCGTTTCGTTCGTGTCGTGCGTGCGGGCGAGGCGAAGCTGCCTGGGCGCGCGAGAGGAATGAATCCGCCGTTGCTAGGGCGAAGTCAAGACAAATGATTTTCCCCCTCCCTCCCGCCCGTCCGGCGGTGGCTCGCGGTGTCCCGCGGTGTCCCGTGGTGTCCGCCGTTGTTAGGTCGAAATCAAGGCAAATGATTAACTCTCCCACTCCCGCCCATCCGGCGGTGGCTCGCGGGATCCCGCGGTGTCCCGTGGTGTCCGCCGTTGCTAGGGCGAAGTCAAGACAAATGATTCACCCCCGCCCGCCCATCCGGCGGTGGCTCGCTGTGTCCCGCGGTGTCCCGTGGTGTCCCGTGGTGTCCGCCGTTGCTAGGGCGAAGTCAAGACAAATGATTCTCCCCCGCCGGTTCATCCGGCGGTGGCTCGCGGGATCCCGCGGTGTCCCGCGGTGTCCCGTGGTGTCCGCCGTTGCTAAGGCGAAATCAAAACAAATGATTCTCCCCCTCCCGCCCGTCGAGCGGTGGCTCGCGGTGTCCCGTGGTGTCCCATGGATCGATAATGAGATCGATAGTGAGATCGATGTGGTGCCCCGTGGTGTCCCAAAAAGTGAGATCGATAGTGAGATCGATAGTGAGATCGACAGGTGTCCCGTGGTGTCCCGTTGAGTGAGATCGATAGTGAGATCGATGTGGTGCCCCGAGGTGTCCCGTGGTGTCCCAACAAAAAGAGATCGATAGTGAGATCGATATTGAGATCGACGGATGTCCCGTGGTGTCCCGTTGAGTGAGATCGATAGTGAGATCGATACGAGATCGACAAGTGTCCCGTGGTGTCCCGTGGTGTCCCGTTGAATGAGATCGATAGTGAGATCGACAAGTGTCCCGTGGTGTTCCGTGGTGTCCCGTTGAGTGAGATCGATAGTGAGATCGATTGAGTCTGATGTTGGTTCCCCCCCCTCTCCCCCCCCCACAACCTCCTTATCACCGGAAGGGTGGTCGTATAGGTAATTATGGGCCCTCTGGAGCCTCACTGCGTGCGTCTCATGTGCCCACCCCGTTGCGATGTGGAGCCGCCCACGGGGGAGGCAGGAGAGAAAGAGAACAGGAACAGGCCATAAGACGTGTCGATCAAGTGAAAAGTGACCATCTCTCCCTCGACCACCACGGAGGCCGCGAGCGAGATGTGCCCGATCGCGACGAAGATGCCACTTCCCAGACATCCTGCCGCTTCAATGTGTTCGATGCGTAGACCCTTGAGGTCTGGACCACTTCCCCAGGGCCAGTTTTTCACCCTGAATAGCTTTCTGACGGCCCCCAGGCCCAGCGAGGGCTCGCGGAAGCAGAAAACGGCCAGAAACCCGCCGCTCCATTTTTTGGAGAGCGTCGCATCTCTGGGTTTGTCGCTTGAATAAGAGCAGGACGAAGTCCACCAATGCAGTCGGACGTAGGACATAAAAACATCCTTCAAGAACATGAGACCTCCGCCAACCAAAACACAAAGAACATCCGCGGGTACCCTCCCCGGGATGCGCGAGAACGTCCACCAAACACGAAGGACATCAGAATACCCTCCCCCAACCGGCCTCGATCTAGCGCACAGCGCCAACGGCCTCTGAAAGGAGGCTCAGGATCCCAAGCCCTGGGGGAAGAGGAGGAGGAGGAGGAGGAGGAGGAGGAGGAGGAGAAGAAGAAGAAGAGGGAGGAGGGGGGGAGAGGGAGGGGAGAAGGAGGGGGAGGGGGAGGGTGATGGGGGGGAGGAGGAGGAGTAGAAGGAGGAGTGGGGAGGGCGGGATGGAGGAGGAGGAGGAGGGAGGAGGAGGAGGAGGAGGAGGCCTCGCCCCGGCCCTCCGAGCCCACCCCGCCGAGCGACCACGGCGGGGATCGGCGCGCGCGGGCGCAGCAGGTGCGCGCAGAGCAGCCAGGCGAGCACCAGGCGGGAGCACGCGAACGAGCTAACTCGAGGCTCGAGCGAAGCCAGGCGGAGGCAGAGGCACGTCCGGCCAGCGGCTCGAAGAGCCGCGGGCCCCACCGATGAGGGCGGAAGCGAAGACTGCGAAACAAGAGGGAGCGACGACCTTTGCACGACAGAGTCTGCTGACGGAGTTCCCCACATAAAGATGATGAGGGCTTTGTGGGGCCAATGAGGCAAAATAACAGCAATATGATTGGAAAGGCCATCGCAAAGGTACGTGCAAAAGAAACGGCAGACGAAGGCAAGGATGGGGAGCAGCAGGGAGGAAGACGACGGCTGTTCAGGAAGCACGTTCGTCCCCGGAGGAGTGGGAGGGGCACGGAGCCTGATAAATAACATGGTTTGCGAATACCCTCCTCGCACATGGTTTGCGAATACCCTCCTCGCTCAGGCGGGGTCTCCCTGGAGGAGCAGGAGGGACACGAAACCCGATCAATAACATGGTTTGCGAATACCCTCCTCGCTAAGAAGGGGCATCCCTGGAGGAGTGGGAGGCGCGTATCCCGATACTGCCCTCGCTCCAGCGTGGCTTCCCTGGAGTGGTAGGTATGGCATGGTAGCTTTGGTACTGTAGGTGTGGGATGGTATATTAGGTGGTGTGATATAGTTGGCATGGTATGGTAGGTATTGTATGTGGTAGGTATGGTACGGTAGATATGAAAGTGGTATGGTATTGTTGAGTATGGTATGAGATGGTATGGTACGTATGGCATGGTATGGTAGGGAGGCGGGAGAAGGAGAAGGAGGAGAAGGGGAAGGAGAGGGTGGTGTAGGGAAGCAAGAACCCCACTCAGGATGTGGGAAACGAATAGCGCTCCTCACAGACAGAATGCTCGGCGTCGCGCGCGGCGATAATGCCTCGCGGTTGCGCCCTCGGTTGGACAGCTGAACGGCAGCGGATGCCAGGACGAAGACACATTCGGATGAGGATAAATCGAGAATCTCACTCAACGCAGTGCAACAGGTCAGTGGTCATCAACCTGCGTTGGCACGAGATACCCTCGTGCCTGTGCTGGTCCGCAGGGTGACAGTTGGCCAAGAACCTGTGGATGTTCGAGGCTGCGCGTTTGCTAGATAGGGTCCAGAGGCGGGGCATATGTGTCTCACGGAAGAGGCTTCCGCGTGGAGGACCCACACACACACACACACACACGCACGCACGCAAACACACACACACACACACACATCATTCCTCACTCCTCACTCCTCACTCCTCACTCCTCCTCCTCCTCCTTCTCCTTCTCCTCATCCTCCTCATCCTCCCCCCCCTCCCCCTCCCCCTCCCCCTGCCCCTCCCTCTCCCCTCCCTCTCTTCCCATTCCTCCCCTATTCCTCCAAATCCTCCCATTCCTCCGTTCCTTCCCCTGTCCCTCCCCCTCCCCCCCCCGTCCCCCTCCCTTCCCCCCCTCCTCCCTCCTCCTCCCCTCCTCCTCCTCCTCCTCCTCCTCCTCCTCCTCCTCATCTCCTCCACCTTCTTCTCTTCTGATGATAAAAATTCTTTTCTTCTTCTGATAACTATAGTATTAATTGTTGTATGTTCCTCCTCATCTTCCTCGTCCTCTTCCTCCTCCTCCTCCTCCTCCTCCTCCTCCTCCTCCTCCCCTCCTCCCCTCCTCCTCCTCCTCCTCCTCTCCCTCCTCCTCTCCTCCTCCTCCTCCTCCTCCTCCTTCCTCCTTCTTCTTCTTCTGATGATAAAATTCTTCTTCTTCTTCTTCTGATAACTATTAGTATTAATTGTTGTATGTTCCTCTTCCTCTTCCTCGTCCTCTTCCTCCTCCTCCTCCTCCTCCTCCTCCTCTCCTCCCCTCCTCCTCCTCCTCCTCCTCCTCCTCCCCTCCACCTCCTCCTCTTCCAACTTCTCCTCCTTGCCCTCCTTGCCCTCCCCCTCGCCTCCCGCCTCCTCCTCCTCTCTCCTCTCCACCTCCTCCCCCTGCTCCCCCTCTTCACCGCGCGACCCGCCCGCGACCCGCCTGCGACCCACGCGCGTCCCACCCGCGACCCACCCCGCGACCCACCCGCAACCCACCCGCGACCCACCCCGCGACCCACCCCGCGACTCGCCCGCGACTCACCCACGACCTACCCCGCGCCCGCCCCCTCGCTCTTATCCGCAGCCGCGGGGTGCCATCGTGTGTTCACGCGTCCCCTCCTGTTCCCACTCCGACTCCTCGTCCCATCCCCCGCCAACGCCTGTGCGCCGCCGACGACGAAGCCGCCCGGGAAGCACCGGACACAGTGCGCCGCGGCCCCCATTTGCCCTTCGGGGAGGCGGGGCAGCCGCCGCGAGGCTAAGGGGGCGGGGAGGCGACGGAGGGGGGAGTCTCGGGAGTCTCCGCCTGCTCGCGCAGCGATGCAGGGATACAGTGAAGTCCGCCTGCACCAAACGACGGTGCCTGCTCCTCCGGGCCATGAGTCCTAGACTGAGCCGTCTTAAGTACTCGCGTCCCGTAGCTGTGGGTGCCTTACGACACTCTGCAAACTCAGCGGGGCGCGAGGGGGAGGCGGGGGGGGGAACGGAGGCGGAGGAGGGCGAGCTGAGGGCGAGGGAGGAGCGGGATGATGGGAAGGAGGAGGAGCAGGAGGAGGAGGAGGAGAAGGAGGAGGAGGAAGAGGAGGATGAGGAGGGGAGGAGGGAGGGGGGAAAGAGCGAGGAGGCGAGGAGGAGGAGGAGGAGGAGGAGGGGAGAGGGGGGAGGAGGTGGAAAGAGGAGGAGGGGAGGAGGGGAGGAGGGAGGAGGAGGAGGAGGAGGGAGGAGGAGAGGGAGGGAAGGAAAAACGAGGGGGACAAGGGAGGTGGGCGGGGGGGGAGGTTCCTCAAGCGGTCAGGTCAAGGATCGCCAGAAAGAAACTGCAGGCTGCCCGACTGATGGAAAGGAGACTCCATGACACCAGCTGACCAAAGAATCAGCCCAGAGGGCGGGAGGGAGGAAGAACAGACATCCTCCCTCTTCCACCCTCCCCTCTCCATCCTTCTACCTCCCTCCATTCTCGTTTCACTCCTGCTTCTCCTCCTCCTCCTCCTCCTCCGCCCAAGGCCTTTATGGCATTGTGGCGCCCTGGGGGAGGAGTGCGGCTCGACTCGAGCGCGCAGGGGGGCGGCCTCGGCGACCGACGGCAGCTGACGAGGGTGACAGCACCACCCTCGGCTGCGCGACGAGGAGTCAGTTCGATGCCTGAACGCTCATCGCCTTCTCCTCCCCCCCTCCCCCCACTCCGTTCTCCGCATCCCCCTCCACCCCTCCTCGTCCTCCCCCTCCTCCTCCTCCCTCCTCCTCCTCCTCCTCGTCCTCCTCCTCCCGCTCCTCGCCCTCCAGCTCCCCCCCCCCCCTCCTCGTCCAGGAGAAGGCGGAGGAGAGGGAGGAGGAGGAGGAGGAGGAGGAGGAGGATTGGTAGTCCCCAAGCGTGGTGGTGACAACACCCGGCGGTGAGTCTCGGGCGATTTGGTGTCACCACCCAATTAGTTTGGGGACTCGTGTGGTTTTCCGGGGATGTCCTGACGCTGGTGGGTCCAAGAATCACACAACCTGGCAGTGACCCTGTGTTCCAAAACCGTGCGGTGACTTTTTTGGGATTCCAGGTCACCACCTGATATCTCACCACCTGGTTTGGGGGCTCCCAAGAGGAGGTCCACTCGATACAGAGGGCTTCTCGAAGAGGCCTGAGGAGGACGGGGCAGAGATGCCTCCGCATGTGCCTGCTCTTCCGAGCTCGGCCGCGCCGTCCCGCTTGGTTTCTCGGTACTGTGCTGGCACGGTGGCAGGGTTTGACACAGGTAGCTGAACGGCAAGGATGGGCACCTGACAGGCAGGAAGGGGAGAGCGGGAGAGGAGGTGGGACCCGAAACGGCCCAGGTGGCCGAGACAGCACGCGCCTGTCGTGTTGCGTTGCGCGTCGGCCGCTCCGTAGGGGTACTGTGACGCATGAGCACGCGTGCGCAGACCCAGGGATTCCGCACCGCCCGTTCCTCATCATGATGTTTGTTCCTCCTCCTCCTCCTCCTCCTCCTCCGCCGCCCCGTGTCTCTTCCCCCTGCCAGTCCTCATCCACCTCCTCCTTCTCCTCCCTCTCCTCCCCTTCCTCATTATCCTCGGTCCTCCGCCTCTCCATATACATGTATATACACGCATGCATTATGTACACTGTATATGCGTGTGAGTGTGTATATAAATGTATATATATACATATATACATATATGCATATATATATATATGGTTATGCACACATATATATACATACATACACTTGCACCTATATATATATATATATATATATATATTATGTACACCTCTCTCTATATATATAGCTGTGTGTGCGTGTGCGCATGTGGACTCATTGCTCGAACCCTCGTCATCCTGACGCCCCTCCTCCTCCTCCTCCTCCTCCTTCTCCTCCTCCTCCTCCTCCTCCTTCTCCTACTCTCCCCCGCCCCCCGCCTTCCCTCACCCTCCTCATCCGCATCCTCATTCCTGCCGGCGCAATACTCATAATCATGCTCCTCCTCTTCCCCCTCCTGCTCCCCATACGCTCCTGCTCGTCCTCCCCCTCCTCCTCCTCCTCCTCGTCATCATCATCATCATCAGCATCATCATCCTCATCATTATCATTATCATTATCATTATCATCATCATCATCATCATCAGCATCATCATCATCATCATCATCATCATCATCATCATCATCATCATCATCATCATCATCATCATCGTCATCATCATCATCATCGTCATCATCATCATCAGCAACATCATCATCCCGCTCCTTCTCCTGCTCCTCTTTTTCCTCCTCCTCCTCCTCCTCCTCGGTCGAAAGGACGGGCCGGGCGTTTCGCCTGAGCCTTCCCTCAGTGTACGACCCTGAAGCTTAAGAATTTGCAGGAGGTTCACGAATGGAACGCGGCTCAATTTCAAAATGTGGCTCTCGTCTTGGCGCTGCGCACATTCGTCTTAAAAGCTTGCAAGAGTTTCACGGATGGAAGGCGGGCCGGTTTTTCAAAATGCGGCTCCCGCCTTAGCGCCGCGCGCATTCGTCTTAAAAGTTCGCTCGGTTTTCACGGATGGAGGGCGGTTCCTTTTCAGGATGTGGCTCTAGCCTTAGCGCCGAAAACATTCGTCTTACGAGCTTGCATCAGTTTCAAATCTTATCATGGCTAGCGTCCCATAAATTGTGTTTCGGCATGAACTCTGAATGTCAGACATCGCCAAAACGCAATAGTGACTGTGAATCGCGGAGTTGGTGTCCCAGGAATAGCGTTCTGGCACAATTCTGGATGTTCAAACGGTTGTTTTCCAAAGGGACTCTTCCCTCAGTGAAAATGGGCGTGTAGAGGCCTATGGAAAGGGAATTTTGAGGGAGGGCTGATTGCAATATCGTTCATGAGTGTTGGGTTTGCGCGGGTCCTCCTCCTCCTCCTCCTCCTCCTCCTCCTCAGCCAACAAGTACCAACACCGCTACTCCCTGGACCTCTCCAGGGGCGCGTTCTGACCAGAATTTCGAGGCGAATCCAGCGGTGGCGACGAGGGCCACCCAGGAGGCCCAGGAAGGGAAAACGAGGCCAGGGTTGCGGTATCTCCTCCTCCTCGCCCTCCTCCTCGTCGTCCTCCTCCTCCTCGTCCTCCTCGTCCTCCAACGTCCACTTCCCCCCTCGCGTCCTCCTCGTCCCCTCCCCGCCCCTTCCTCGTTCTCGAACCTCCTCGAAGCGGGCCGTGCCGACCTGAATTATCTCAGGTGGGGCCCTCTGGAGAAACCGCCGACAGCAGCGGAGACCTCCGAGCACTCCCGAGCAGTCGTCAGAGCCCTGCGGCACGCCCGACCTCTAGAGGCCTCCTGGGTGGGGTCTGAGTAGATTGAAGTCGGGCCTGTCCCTCTCCAGGGGGAATATTCAAAAATAGTCAAAAGAAAAAAGATGGGGTCAATTTGTTGACCATTCTTGAATATTCTGGGGGCATTTTTTGAGTATCGCTTACTTTTCGCCCAAAATCCCCCTGTAGGGGGACACGCCGGACTTAAGAGTAGATGGGGTGGTCGAAGGATCGCGCTGCATCGCCAATGCACCCCGGATGTATCGGCGATGCATCGGCTATGCATCGGCGACGTTGGCGATGCATCGGCGACGTCGGCCTGGGAACCACGGGCGCCACATCGAGCCGCGTCGTCGACGCATCGGCGATGCGTCGCGATCTTCCGACCCCGTCTACTCGGACCTCATCTAGGAGGCCCAGAGCCTCCAAGCCCGCGGAAGAACAGAAGCCTGCCGAGAGCCCCAGAAACATCCGAGACCCTCCTCACTGCACCGGCCTTGCAAACGTGCTGCATCGGATTTCTGCGTGGACTTCTGCGTGGATTCTTGCCCGAAGCGGCGAGCGAGAAAAACGAAGTGAACTTCGCGCGGACTCTCTTTGGCCTTGCTTCCTGGCCCCCCAAAGAACCGCACGAAATCCACCTCGAACTCCGGAGCGATCGGGGGTCTTCTGACCCGGGTCAATCCAGACCCGGGTCAGCAAGAAACCAAAAACTGCAATGCAAGAGAAAAACTGCAACGCAGGTCTTCGCAAACCCGGGTCAGCCAATGTGCGCGGCCGCCTCGCGGCCACGAGCGGGTCAGCCAGAGGGGGCCTTCGCAGGATCCTGCAGGATCTGGTGCCCTGGCTGACCCCCGTTTGCATTGACCCCCGTCTCGATCGGGGATGGACAGAGCCCCCTTTAGTAAAACGTGGTTCAGTGAAAACGACCTGAGGCCCAAACCTGGCGGGCGCCAGCCTGGAAAACAACGGCCACGGCGCCCCTTCGAGAACCGACAAAGGACAATTCACTGATCGACGTGTCACTGTTGGGGGTTCTGTCCACTCCCGACTCGAGGCTCTGATAGGCCCCGCCCCGCTCCCAGACCCCCGACGTCATGATTTTTTCACGACGCGATCCCCAAAGGTCCGGACCCATTCCCCGGGACCGGTTTTTCATCCTGAGTCGTTTTTTGACGGTCCCGAGGCCCAGTGAGAGCCCCCAGAGGCCGAAAATAGCGAAAAACCTCCCGTCGTGATTCTTTCTCGAGGCTCCCGAGGCGAGCCTCTCCAGGCCACTCCAGGCCCGCCCCTCGTGCCCTCCGGGCGGACCGTCCGCTCCGCGATGCCGCCGTCGGGGCCCTCCGAGGGCCTCTGACCTCCGGGCCGGCGCGCGGGCACCCGGCGGCGGAGGCCTCCGACGGAGGCCCGGAGGCGCCCTCCTCTCCGGAGAGGCTCTCGGGGACGGGCCGGCCCCGGGGGTCAGCCCAAGGGCGGTCGCAGACGAACGGAAAGAAGTACTGCAGCAATGGTGAAACAACAATCGACAACTCGTCCCCGGACTATTGTTTGACAGCTTTAGGACATTCCTCCTGGAGGGTCAGCCAAAGGGCGGTCGAAAGCCAGAGCCGCCCCCGAAGTACTCTCCGAACCCGCGGCCGCGGCATGAAGGGGGGGTGAGCAGCGTTAGGTCGGGTCCGTCTCCCTACAAGGGGGATGTTGGGCGAACGGAACAAATACTTCAAGAATGATGGAACAATAATCGACAAATCGTCCCGAGACTATTGTTTGACAAATTTTGGATATTCCTCCTGTAGGGGGACAGGCCCGACTTAAAAGTAGGGGGAGTGAGTAGCGGACGCCGAAAGGTAAAGATTGGTTTGCCATCGGGGTCGCCTGTCCCGGGGAGACTGGACAGTTTCCACCCCTGTGGTGGCACGTCGGGAGAGGAACGAGCCCGAAGGAGGTCCACGAGCCCTGTGCGGTGTGGCGGATGCAAACCTCGTGTCCTGGCCATGCTCCCGCCCCAGACCTAGACTTCCGACGGCTTGACCTGCGCACTCCTCGGGCCCCAGGTCTCGACCCCTTGAGCTCTGGGCAAAGGATCGCCCCAAGCCTTAAGTCGGGCCTGTCCCCGGGGATTTTCGATGAAAAGTAAAAATACACCAAAAAAAATCAAACAATAGTCCAAAAATAGTCTGGGGACTATTTTTATAGTATTTTTTGACCTTTTGGGGGTACTTTGGGGGTATGTTTTATTTTTCGTCGAAAATCCCCCTGTAGGGGGACACTCCCGACATAACGCTAGAGCCCATCTCTGCTGACATTCGGCCCCCCACCCACACCCCAGAAAACGGGCGCCAGAGGCCGAAGCTGTCAGAGCCTGGGGTGACCAGCTGTCTCGGACCCACGCGCCCCCCCCCCCCCGAGCGCCGCCTCGGGGCAGCAGCGGCAGCGTGATCTTCTGCAGGACGCGCCTCTGGCCGGCCTCGATCACATAACCGACGCGCGCCGGCTTGCTCCGCCGGCGCGCGGCGCGGCATGTCTGTTCTGCCCCCGCGTCCGAGACCACCTCATCTTCTCGATCTCTTGCGTCCTCCACTCCTCCTCTTTCGAACTCCTCCCCTCCCCCTCCTCGTCCTCCCCCTCCCCCTCCCCCTCCCCTCTTCATCCCGCCCTCCTACCAGATCCTCCCCACCATGGGTATCCTCACTGTCGTCGCCATCATCAGCGGCATTTGTTTTTCAGCATCACTGGGCAGTTCATCGTCAATAGCATCGTGAAGATCGTGATCGTCGTGATCATCCTCATCATCCTCATCCTCATCATCGTCATCGTAATTGTCGTCGTCATCATCACCACCAGCAGCAGCGGCAGTCTCATCATCATCATCATCATCATCATCATCAACATCATCATCAGCAACATCATCAGCATCATCATCCGCATCATCAGCATCATCATCAACCGTATCAACATCATCATCAGCACCATCAACATTTCATCATCACCATCTTCTACAACAGCAGTATCGCGGTCGGCATCGACATCAAACTCGTCAACAGTATCATCATTTCCATCAGCATCATCATCCTAATCACCATCACCATCACCATCACCATCATCATCACCATCACCATCACCATCATCATCATCATCATCATCATCATCATCATCATCATCATCATCATCATCATCATCATCGTCATCATCATCATCGTCATCATCATCATTATCACCACCATCATCATACTTCCCCTCTTGACTTATCTGGGGAGCCTCCTGAGCCGTCTCTGGGCTTTCTTGCGGGCCTCTTCGGCCGTCTTTGAGCGATCTGAAGGGCCTCTGACGCGGTCCGGGACCGTGGTGAGGCGGAACATGGGAGAGCGCAAGAATGCTTCAAAAACCATGAGATAATTTATAATTTTCGGCTTCTGGGGTTCTTTGGAGGGGCCTCTGGAGGCGCTCTTGGAGCGTTGTGGCGGCGTCGTCGGCCGTCCTGAGGCCATCTTCGGCATGTCCAGGGCCTCTGGGGGCTGTCTTTGGGCGTCCTGGGAACCTAGGAATCATGTTCCCGAGAGGCTTCCGGGAACGAGGCCCTCTTGGGCCTCCCTGAGGCCGTCTTGGGGGCCTCCTGGGCTGGCTTCGGGGCCTATTGGGCCGTCTTGGGGGGCTCCGTGAGCCCCACAGGCCGACCCTTTTGGGCCGTCTTGGGCCCTCTTGGGTCTCTCTTGGGCTGTCTTGGGGCTCCGCGGGGGCGTCTGGGGCACTGTGAAGACGAAGCCAGTGAGCATGCTGATTTACCAAGGAAATGGGCCGATGTTTGCCTCTTGAAGGCCCTTTCGGGGCCCTCTTCGGCCATCTTCAAACCATCTCGGGCCTCGCTGAGGCTGTCCTCGGGCCCAGATATAGGGGGCCCTGGGAGCCCAGAAGTAATGTTCCCGGAGAACCTTGCGGGAACATGATTTCGAACGGGGCCCTCTTGGGCCTCCCTGAGGCCGTCTTGGGGGCCTCCTGGGCCGGCTTCGGGGCCTCTTGGGCCGTCTTGGGGGGTTCCGTGAGCCCCACAGGCCGACCCTTTTGGGCCGTCTGGGGCCCTCTTGGGTCTCTCTTGGGCTGTCTTGGGGCTCCTCGGGGGCGTCTGGGGCACTGTGAAGACGAAGCCAGCGAGTATGCTGAAAATGCACGTTTTACGAAGGTAATGGGCCGATGTTTGCCTCTTCGAGGCCCTCTTGGGGCCCTCACGGGCCCTCTTGGGGCGCTCTTGGGCGCCTTCGGGGCCCCTTGAGGTTTTCTGGACCATCTGTACGGCCCGCGTGGCCTGTCGTGGGCAATGTGGAAGCGGCCTGGGGCAGTCCGGGGGGGTCTGTGACCCCCCAAATCTTCGGGGGGGCGGCCATGGGGGATGACGGCACCGATTTCCCCCCCCCCCCCCCGCCTACTCATATATGTCGGCGGTGCGCCGTGGCACGAACCCCCCCCAGCACTACCGGGGGGTTTCGTGCACTACCGGGGGGTTTCGTGCAGCCCGCACTGGGTGCCGTCAGCGGCTTAGAGCACCCCCCCCTTGCCGCTTTACCGGGGGGGTTCGCGCAGGCCGCATTGGGTCCTCCCCTGTCACTTTACTGGGGGGGGTCGTGCAGGCTGCACTGCGTCTACCTGGGCTCACCCCCTCCCCTGTGGGAGTGGGGGGGTGGGAGTGGGGGGTGGGGTGGGGGGGGGGGCAGGGGGGCGGTTGGGAAGGGGGGCTCCCTGTCGAAGTGTGGCGTGTGCTCGCCTTGTGTTCTCTGTGCGCAACTCCCAAGAGCCGCTGTGGGGGGTCGACGGCACGGCCGCGTAGAGAAGAGCAGTGCCGCCGTGTTCCGGCACGGCCCTGGGATGCAATGCCGCCGCCGTGTTCCGTCCCGTCCTGGTAAGATTCGCGCGTCGGGGCTGGGGTTCGCGCGTGCCGGGAGCGCGCCGCTTACGGAGGGGTTGCGTCCTTACCAGGGGGGAGTCGAAAATGAGCCTGGTAACTCAAATAGCATCTGCTCCCATGGGAAGCGGATGGCAAATAACGTCCATTCCTTTGCTGTGGTGGTTCAGTATGGGGAATAGGCGGATAAGATAGGATAAGATCGATGTATCGGTCTTTCCAGCACATAGCGAACACTCGCGGTGTCCGGGCAAATAGGGCGCGCGTGCCTTGAGCCAAAGGCAACGGCGCGCGAGCTATGCTCCCGATACTATAACATCTCCCAAAGAGCTACCCTTAAAGTCGGGAGGGGAGGAGACGGAGAGCATAGCCGCGCAGCCGTTAGGCTTTTCAAAGGCCGCGCGCACGACTGTTTGCAAGAAAGAAAACAGTGCGTACAGTCTGGCCTAACACCAGACTGTAAGGCGAGTTTCCTCGCAAGGCATTTCACGCTAATACAAGATAACCCCTTCGAACGACGAAGGGCTATCGGCTCAGTTAGAGGTAAGCCAGACAAGCCATACCTCACCGAGCAAATATGTATTAAGGCAAAGAGCCTGAGTCATACAAAGCCGGCTCGCTGCCAGGCGTGAAATGGGTTTGTCTCTGTCCTCGGGACCCCGAAAGGGAACAAACTGCTTCACGTTATACTTGAATGACTGAGTGCCTGACATTACTTCCAGAAGCAGCTCCCGATCGATGCTTCCCTTTGTATGCCCGTCTGCGGTCATATCCCTAGTATCACACCACTGCACGTTATGTACTATACCTATATCCATGAGCTCACGTATCCAACTGATGTGTCCAAGCAGAGTCCGTTCTGTCGGTATCTTAAGATCCTTGCTTGATAATGATTTATAAACGGACTCAGCGTCCATGGTAAGAGATGCTTTGATGGCTAGGCCTCCAACTTCACGCATATCTCGTAGTTGTCGTGGAGTCAGAGCTCCTGCCTTGAGCTCGTGGAGAGTGATGAGCGTAGGGTAACACTCATCGAGGTTATGCGCCGCTGCGAGTGCCTCCGCAGCATAGCTGGACCTCACCTGCAGTCGGTGTGATTTGCATAGTCCGTCACAGAGGTGAACGACGGACTTGCCTTGAGGCGAGTTTCCTCGCCGTAGTACATTCGCCCCGCGTATGCCGTAGCCCTTGGTCTCATCATCCTCCTCCCCGGTAAGCTTCCGATACCCCGAATCGCTGTGGATGTCAACTTCATTCGTCGGCTTCATCCGAGGGAAGGTGATGCGTTTCGGGCTGCTGATCAGCTTTCGCGTCACAGCATTCAGGCGTCTGACTTGCAGATTGGTGGGCTCTTGGATTTTCTGGAGAGAGACCACGTATACCATGAGCCAGATTTGAGTAAGAAGGGCATAGGCGAGGGCTCCTCGCAAGCTGACGAACATGTCGGCAATGAGTTTCGTGGCTTTGGCATCGGCCGCCGCTCCTGTAAGTTCGGGGTGTGTGTGATAGGACGTAGTTGTTTGATATACTCGTCCTGATCCATAATCACATCCCCTTGATCATTCTTAGCGCAGCGAACGGCGCAGTTCGTATATGTGTGTTTGTTTAGCTTGCATGTACCAAACACCTTTTCGACACGCTGTACGTAGTCGTCTATATTTTTCTCTAGGCCAGTCATGTTAATATCATCGACATGTTTTGCCGTTAGCAGATCTTGGCTGAATTCAAATTCAGGGTCATAACTGGTCGGTGTAAGACCCAAAGCTCGTGTGGTCGTACGAAGCTTGAGAGAGAACGCTCTTGGAGCATCCTTTGTACCCGTTCCTGGTTTGAGGCATCTGAAGCAGCGTCGGCTTTCGTCATAGGATGAGAAGCCGGGTAGTGTACGAAGTACCTGGGCACTTCCCGGTGGAAGAGTGAAGCAGACCATGCGAGTTTCCTCGCCTGTGGCATGGGCAAGTTCCTCATAGGTCAGACCCTTGAGGAACGCCTTGTCGATATCCATGGATGCTAAGATCCACTCTGGATGGCATGCCGCCCCACTTGCCAGGAGTCTCTGGGACTGCCTTCGGGCGGTTCCCGAGAATGTTTCCACATCGAAAGCCTCAGTATCCATAAATGCGCGAAGGACAAATCTGAGACGAAGGGTTTTAACGTTCTCGGTACCCACCTTTACAAACTTCCACTTGTATACATACCTGGATGTCATGATGTTGGAAGCTTTGGATAGATCATACATCTCAAAGCATCGGTTGTCAATCCAGATTTTGAGCTCAGTATACAAAGCTTCACTAACCTCCTTTGGGTGCGCTGCTATGTCGGCTTTGGTCAGTAGATCATCTTCTTTAACGACCACAGCACGTTTAGCAGCAGAGGATACATATACTCTCATCGTTGCGACCATATCGGCGTCGAGCTGTGCAAGTTGAGTCTGATCTAACACTATTTTTGACATTTCTGATGTAGAACATAACTCAACGTAAAGACCATATTCATCACTATCAAGAGAGTAGCTCTCGTCAGGTGTGGTTGAGCAGAGAGAGACTATACAGGACTCTCGTGGTTCAGGCTCGTCTCCGAGCGTG